TAACGGTTGTTCAGATAGTTGTATTGTTGAACTTTTCTAGCAATAATTTATAGCCCGCTGTGGCTAGATAAACATTTCCCACTCTTGAGTCTTATCCAAAACTTTCAGCTAGGCCAGCACAATGGTCACGACTGTATGAAAGGCAGAGCACAACACTGGAGGTCTTTCTCCACAAATCAAAATAATCGAAATCTAAACGAAGTCTTCATTTGTGAAATGGTCTAAAAATGTTTGCATTGAATGGAGTGACTCAGAATCCCTGGATGACCGGATTTAACTACAGGACAATGGGGCTCAACTCCTGATTGCAGGCAATCTGAAACTATCATTTAAAGATAATGAGCGGCGAGGATGGTTGCAAGTGATATCTTTTCTTGGCCCAAACTACATGGTCGAGCCAGACTTAGCTGCGATTTGGAACGCAGGGCATTCTTTTTCAGGTCTTAAAAGATAAATTTTGCTTTGCAGCCAAGAATGCAAACCATCGCTAGCAGGTTTTCCAGCAACGTGGGGACCTGGCAGAGATTGACAGTTCCATTATTACTGTTCTCTCCTCCCAAGCATGATAGGAACTCAGCGGAGGCTTTGTCTGCTCTGGTAGGGAGGAGATTACACTGCACTGCTGTTCAAGTGAGCTCCTGTTTGTTGCAGGGTGAAAGGAGGTGGGCATGTTCTGCATTGCATTAAATAGTGTTCGTGTGAATGGAGTGGGATTACTTGCATGCTAAAGCGATTGCTACGTGACTGCAGCTGGCCTGCATTGCAGGGATCCTGCTGGCATAGCCATTGAGGCAGAGCCTCCTAGTAGAGCTTAGCATACGGAGGCAGATGCGGGTTTTCTGCCAGCTTTGTTATACCACTGTCTGACCCACAGAAGATCTGCTGGCTGAAGCCCTCTCATCTTGACGTAGGTCTGCTCCCCAAAACCCCCTGGCTGGACACCACTAGACCTTCCTGGTCCTGGTCAGCTAGGGGCTGGGATCTTGCCCATGCTCTAGCTGACACAGCAAGCCAACCCACCTCTGTAACTGTGCCCTGAACCTTGCCAACAGTGCTGGGATGGTGCTGTCTTTAAATATAAACTTTTAACTTGTTATGCATCACCTTGCAGGTGCTAAAGCTTTGTAATTCTAGACCAAAGTCTTCTGGGAAGAGCTGGGCTGGGGGATACTTCAGTGCAAACCTTTGGCATGGCAGGGTGCTCCCTCGCTAGCTGTCACTTTGCAGGTGCATTGTTTCACGGTATTGTTGCCCAGTCAGGTATATCCTCAGCTGAACAACGAACAAAAATGCAAAAAAAGGCCCTGAATGGGGAGCATTTGCCATCAGTGCATTTGCTGCTGCATACGCTGTTCTGGAGACTGGGTCAATGTGAAGTCGTAGCAATTTGCAGGAACACGTAGACAATTTACGTGGTGCAAAAGCCAGCAGCTGCTGTGTGGGAAGAGCAGGCACACGGGCGTTTGCCCTGCAATAAGTGGAAGCTAACGAAAGTGAAAGGACTGTGCTACCACAGTTCAGCTTCCACCCATTCTCGGGGAAGAG